TTACTTGTATGTGTAACACAAAAAAACATGTAAAGCTATAATACAGCTGCCATGTATCCTTTTCTCTCCAGAGGATCTGCTCACAGAACAAATGAATTAAAGAAAATGATGCTTCTAAAGCACTTACTGTATATTTAAATACCATATACAGCAGACTGATACATAGAACCACACTGGTTAACTTTCAAGAAAGAACTCCTGTTCACCACTAATCCTTTGGCCATTACAAAGATTGGCTAGGAAATAAATGCATTCCCTCCTCAGCAAGTTTGTTTTGGAACTGCAGAGTAACGAAAAAGGAGAACTACCCTGCCCCCAGGTTATCTAATGTGTGAAGCCTCAGAAGTGCCTACAGATAGATTGTTCTTAAGGATAGGAAGTCTGATGCATCATTGCTGCCATCTGCTGCATTTTTTTTAATTCTCCCCTGGGACAAAGTTATTCAACATGCTTGTATCCAGCCTGGCTCAGACTGAGAGCTATGCCAAGCCACTTCTCTCTTAAGCATTCCCTGGAACAAAGTACAGGGAGAGGGGGAGGGATTGTTTGTAAGAGGATTTTTTTTTGAAGAAATGCCACGAGCAAACAATTCAACTGTTTTTAATGTCAGCATTAAGTCACATCAGTACTTGCAAATCCTTTAACTATTCAGACAGCTCTTTGTCAAGTGAAGAATTAACACAATATTCCCCTCTGTGATACAGCACGAAGTTTTTGGAAAAGAACTCAGCTTAAAGTTCTGGGCAAAGGCCACTTTCCCTGTGCCTTAGCAAGCAGTCGTACTATCAACCAATGATAAGAAAACGTGAGCAGCAGTTCAGGCAAAAAGAGGGTTCTACTAGTTTTCCCATACTCTTCATGTGCAAAGGCATGTTCTGTACTTGTTCCTTCACTTTTATCTAAGAGTTCTAGTGATTATTTCTAATTTTAAGCACCTACAGTGCATACTCATCAAGTGTCATTTCTCAATAATGTTAATTGTGGGATCACCATAAAAAAAAGCATGAGAAATCTAAGCAGAACTTGCCCACAGTACTCTTACACTACATCACCTGAGGTTGTTTGCTCAACTTGGAAGGCACAGTAAGTCTTAAAAGCCTTCTGGCTAGGCTAAACACCTCCACCTGACTTGAAAAGCACTTCTGAAACTAAAAGAATTGGTGCTCTACCACTTCAGAGCTGGATTCAGCTGGGAAGAAGGGTGGAAACGGAACTGCTCTGAAGCAGCACTTTCACAACTTGAACAATTTGTTATTTTTAGTCCTATATCTGACATGCACCTGTGCAGAAAGCCAAAAGTCAATGTCTTTTTTAATAGTAGTGTATATTCAGACTACATTCATGTCTACATATTTCTGCAAACTTTGTCATGGAATAAGGGTTTAAATTTATATATACAGATTCAGAGAATTTAGTTTTAAAATACAGTTTAAATGTAAGGTTATAATACCACAGGTTTAAACAGCCATTACAACATTCTAACATTTTACTAAAAAAGTGATAAATGACACTAAGTCATGCAATTGCAATCAGCCCTTAAACAATGATTACTCTCCAAGGCAATTACCTGATGTCTTGCCTACCACCAGTCACAGAAAAAGAGCAGAGCAGTATCACAGCAGAGATCACAATGTCACTGCTGCAGATTTCAGGAAAACAGCTGAGCAGAATGTTTAACTTTCCCTCCAGAATATCAAGGTTAAGAGGGCTGTTAAAAGTTTGTATATATACATTTTACTTATTAAAACAATTAAAAACAGCCTTCGAAATCACCTAAATGTGCAGAGCTGTTCAGTACTTATTTTCTAAATGTACAACATGACAAAAACCTAACACTGGGCAGTTAGTGTTCAAGATGTTGACAATCCTCCATCTCATGTTTAAAGCAAATTGTGACCTCTTGAATTATTAAATATCACCTACAAGTTACACAAACTGTTAGTAGTTAACACTTAATCGGCACATACTGTAATACTATGTATTGTTAAATGACCTAAGAATTACACACTATACTGAATTTTTGCTCAGCTATTACACACAGCCCTACATTAAACTGGAGAATAACTTCTCCTCAGTTTCCTTTCAATTCTATCAGGTTTTTTCTTGAATGGATTGTTGAATAATTTTTGAATGTATACTAGAAGCTCTTAAATTTAAGATATCCTTTCATATGAACTCCAAAATAAACATCGTAGGAAGCACAAGGATTGCTTCAAAAGTAATGCCTCCTTGTTTATTATGTTGGCCCATGACATGGTGGTGGTGGTACCACAGTAGAGGTTGAATCCTCTCATCAATATTCCACTTGTAAGTGTAAGCTAATATTAAAAAGCAGTTCAGGAGGATCCTCAAGTTGCCAATGTCTTTCAGTCAACTTACGTGCAAAGCAACCAAAGTTCTGCTGTTGAATACTACTGAAATCAAAGAAGACTTCAGTTAGAATGTTAGAATGAACCACATTAGTTTTAGAATCAAACCACATTAGGCATTAAACAGCAGCATACACTGCTTTATAGTCATTTTAAGACAGAAGACTACATCTGAAAGTCTTTGAAATCTGCTAGTAAACAACTAACCTCTACATCATTAACGTAAGTAAGCAACCTTGAAAAGTTATTTCTGAATGGTTATATCATTTGTCATAACACCAAAACTTCAGCTTGAAATCATTAATTACTCACTATCAGTTCAGCATTACTAACAATAAAAAACACATTAAGTTTTGGTCCTGCCAAAGAAAGTAGACCAAGTGCCTGAAAACTGTCAGTACAAATTCCGCAGCTTACCTATCGAAGTGCCAGAAAAACCACCTGGACCAAGCATAATGCAATCCTAGTAGAATAGCATAGCCAAAATAGCTAGGGAAAGTAATTCACCAAATTTAAGTATATTTAAAAAGACTCCTGAAGATATCACCAGATTCCATGGTAGTATGACTTCACAACAAACATATGCTGGAGCAGTGATCACTGAAGACATAAACCCACCCTGCAGAAAAGGTTCTGGCTAACAGCAAGTTGAATCCGAGTCATCACTGTGATTTGGCAGCCATGAAAGCCAATTGTATCCCAGGACACAGCAGCCCCAGCACTGTCAGCTGGGTGAAGGGAGGGACTGCTCCCATCTGACCTCACCTAGACCACCGTATAAAAGTTTGGGCACAATGTAAGAACGTAAAACAGAGCACATCCACAGGAGGGCTGTGAAGACTGGGAAGGGTCTGGAGGACAAGGAGTATAAGGAGCAGCAAAAGCACCTGGGTTTGGTTGGGAGCAGAGCAGGCTGAGGAGAGGTATCATGGCGGCTGTAGCTTCTTACAAGGAGCAGAGGGACAGCAGTGAGGTCTGCTCTATGGCAACAGGGCCTGAGGGAACGGCATGGAGCTGTGAGGTGCGGGACAGCTGGGTGTTAGGAAAGTGGTCACGGCCCCATGCTGACAGAGTTCAAGTGTCTGGACACCACTCTCAGATAGACAGTTTTGAATTGTGGGCAGTATTGTACGGAGCCAAGAGTTTCTATCAATGATCCACGTGTGTCCCTTCAAACACGGACATTCTATGATAAATCTATTCTTTTACAGAAATACCTAGCACTCTGATCTCAAAGCATAAACAAGAAAGAACAGTTAACCTGAAGCATGCACTTGCTAAGTGTAATTGAATTTATTTCAATTCAAGAAGCTTTTCTCCTTCCTACTTCTGACTTTCTTAGAGAAAAATGAATGTCTTTAGGATTTTAGTTTGCTGACTTCCTGTACACCATGAAGTTTTACTCAAAATATAACACTGTACCCAGAAACTTGTAAATTGAATTCTGAAGGACTGGCAAAACATACTTTCCAATGCTTTGGTTTTTTTCTCCCCTTTCTCCAAGAGAGAAATAACAAATAACTGAAATTGAGATTTAGATCTAAGTTCACATGTAGCTTTATATTTAGTACTCCAAATTAAAAGAATTAGCATCAAGGAAACCATCTTTAATATTAACGCACCCATTAAAAGTGTACAAAGTTGTTGCAAGCTTTTGAAGCAAATCTTCAACAGCCTTTTACTCAGGCTTATAAGCTAACTGAAGCATGTGGCAAAACAACTGCTTCAGAACTTCAAAGTGCTGCTCAGAATGTCAATTCCAAGAAATAATAAAAAAACCCTAAAAATCAACTTTTATAGCACAAAGGTAGGCTCAACTAATTGCTGTGCAGTAGAAGAGAGGAAATATACACCTGAGAAAGGTAAAACAGAGGAGAAGAGATACCAGAATACCAGAAGTTCCTCAGCGTTTGCTGCAAAGTAAGGATAAGCAGCAAGCATTCTTTAACACATAGCACAGACTAAGCACTTGCACAACATACACTGAAGCCAGACTCTTAAAGGTGTCTCAATTGGGAACATTCCTCTCATACAGCTACCAAAGTTGAAAAAACAATTTTCTGAGTAAAGTTCATACACAAATCAAGTATTTAATCTTCTTAAAAACCATCTACTGCAACACTTATAAACACAGTACTATCTGCTGCGTGATGTGCCAAAAGCATCCCAAAACACAACTTACTGGATCCTGCACAGCAGCACTGAAACAGCAACAAATGCCATTTGGCAGAATCGACAGAGCAAAATTCCTGTTACAGAAAGCAATTTCCTATTCTCAAGGGTAACTACTACTCTTAGTTACGATGAATGGATTTCCTACATTTTACTCACATATTTATCTATGAGCCAGAAACTAACTCAAGACTGGCAGTACAGTTCCCGTATAAACTAAAAAGACCTGTACTTTAACAAGTGAAAAACTGCTGTAATAGTTTTTATCATCCATGGTGCTGAAAAAATGCTAATGCTACTACCAGGTATGGAGATGTCGCCACTTTCAATAGCTCCGCTCTAATAATTTATGTTGTCAAATGACTTACAAAACACTGAGATACAATTCTGATTAAGACATACTAAAAAAGCTCGTTCATGCAACACTTATATGGTGGGAATTACAGTTAGAATACTTACCAGATGAGAACCGTCTTTAACTTCTTGTACTTGCTGCACCTGCGGTTCAGCCACAACTTTAGTGTCCTGATCAGAAGTCATGAGCTGTCTGCTTTTTGGCTGCTCAGAGAGAACTTTACTGGTCACTTTTGTAAGCTGTGGATATACAAAGACAAAAAGATACCATAAGCGACAGTTGATATTTCTGAGAATTCAAAGCCATACCCAATGTACCACAGTGATTCAGCCAAAAAACTCTGACGTAGTCAGTAATGTGTTTGGGGAAAATATTGTGGCAGAGGGCATAAAGCTTGTAGTAGTTGGCAGCCTTTGGAATGCAGATGAGCAACAAGCAGAACACTCGCATCACGCTGGGTAGGGAAATCCCAGGAGGAAAAGTTTAATTTCATTCTCACCTTAATTATTCAGACCAGTTTTCAAATCGTGCCTTCTTTACACCTCTTGGTACATTTACCTAACTTATTAAGGAGCATTCCAGTCACAAACCAGCCTTTGTCTTCTACAACTACTCTGACAATCGCTTAATCTTCACAAATTGTAAGAAGCGTGTTACAACACTCCTGCTATATTAGCAATGCTCAACAAGTTGTTCTGCTCCATCATTCTAAAATATTATTTTATTTGATTTGACAAGTAGAGAAATGAATAAAGTTGGATGTCTCAGTGGCTTAGCTTTGAAATTTGAGGCTATTATTTAATACTGTTATTTTAAAAAAAAATACTTAGTCATTAACAAAAAAGCTTATCTGAATTATGAAGTCCCAAAAAGTAAACACTACAAAGTAAATCAGGGTAATTTTTAAATATTTCTTCCCTATAAGGACTACAAACAAGTTCTAATATGCATTTTTACTTATATATTCTCCTAGAAATAAAAATTTTGCAATACACTGAACACAGCAGTACAGTTACACTCCTTACTTGCACGAACTCCTCTTATGGTACTTTGATTCCTAAAGATAAAACGTATTCCAGTCAATGCATGGCTTTACACCCTTCCAGTGAATCCGTGCTAAACTATATTTTGTAATGGACAACAGCAAAAGTCCTTCATGCAACAGCTTTAGTGCATCCTAAATTTTTCAAATGAAATTATACTGTTTATTTATGCAACAAACCAATTCAAGCATCCATACTACAGTCATTCTGAAGATGAGCTGTTTTCTCAACACATTTAAAAAAAACTGACATTTCAGACAGGACTAAATATTCAGCTTAGATAAACAGCTGAACATAATTCCATGCTACTGATGTAAGAATTCAACACATAAAAAAACATGCTTTTAAGAGAACAATATGCACAACACTCAAACACTCAAAGTCTTGGTTTGTTGTGTGAACATGCTAGTACTGGACTTCAATGAGAAGCTGTTCACATATGGGAGAAATTAAATACACAGGAAAATCAAAGAAAAAAGAAAAAAATCTAGTACTGTCCTGCCCCACAGATACACAGTCTAAATGGGAGAAAGTCTGGAATTCATTTAGGATGCTTGTATATTATTAAATAACTAAAAGTTGTACAGAGGGTGAAAGCAATTTTTGAAAGCACGTATTATATAGCACAATTCTGTGCTGTTCAAACCCACGCATGGGAAGCTGCATGCATGTTAACACTAAAGAAGGTGTCTAAGATTTTGCTAAAAACTCCTGTTAATGTTCTTTAAAGAAATTGGTTTTAGCATCTTAAAATTTCTGATTTTTTTTTCTAAAAAGTGAACAAGACTTATGCACTGTGTTCACCCTACATAATCTACATTGCTGTTTACACTAATTGTGGGCTTTAGTCCACATCCACCAGCTAAACTCCACAGAAACTCTGCTATGTTTCAGTCAGTAATAACATCATACACTTTGCATGTTGATCCCCAAATCAGTGTACTTCCTTACATGTCTCTGCATCACCTGATTATCTCACATTCACATCCCCTTCTAGGCTCAGTACGTTCTGGGTACGTAACATTAGCACCAATAATTCATAAATCCATGGACTGGGGCAGGAAAAAAGCTAAGGCCATGTGATGCCAACAAAATGAATAAAGTTCCAGTACACATATGCCCCGCAAAACTTTGGCTGAGCAGCCATTGAGCACAAAATTTTCGGCTAAATCATTAATTTTGGCTGAATGAAGATAAGTTGATAGTCAACTTGACAGATAACAGGTGGCTGCAATGTTCCCTTTACTGGTGGTATGCATGAGAAACTTCAAGTTGCAGTAAGAATAGTGCATCATTCTACTGATCTTCAGAAGTCCTTCAGATGAGCTTACACACGACCCTTATCACAGACCACGTCTGGACTCCAGGTGACTTTGTTTGGATTGCTCTTTCTTACTGCTTAAACATATTTGATGTGGTACACACCACACAAAAACCACTGACCTTGTGAAAAAAATACTTTATATATATGAGTTTTGCATTATTGTTAAGTTGCATTTCTATCATTTCCATCAAAACATTTCTTCAAATTGGTGAAATACTATTATAACCTGTTCAAAGTAGATATTCAACCTGCCTTTTAAGATCTATTCTTTCAACAGTGACCAGCTATTGCCCTGCTACAGATGGGTACACAATACTGAAAGATTCTGAATAGGGGAGTTCCCTTTGCAGTAAGGTGCATTTTAGTACGTCAGGATGCATAAAGTGACCAAGATGTCAAGTGCTCTGCTGTAAAATCCCATCCACTGTGCTGTGCTTCAATATGACTTCACGCACTGTGCTGGAAAGTTAGTCTCATTCATGTTTCCGCCACTTGCCAGTCTCCTACAGCACAAAACCTGTGTGACAGCAGGTTTCCATGACTATCATGTCAGAGAATAAAGCATCTGTGGAAAAAAAGCAGTGTTCTTTCATAGAGAGGGGGAAAAATAAAAACCCTAAAATAACTAAGTGGTAAAGGCTATTGACAGGATGTTTTTAGCAAGTTTTTCATTAATACTGATACTACCATAAATATCTTCATACACAAAATTATTTACAGAAACCAGATTCAGTATTTGGTAGTACTAGCAATTACAAATGAGGATTGACAGTTTAGAGGACAGTTTATCCTCTCTTGATGGTAATTTAATAGCCAAAATTGCAAGTTAAATGTGGCATTTTAACACAGCAATAAGCATTTTCATTCCACTGAGCAGTTAATTTGTCCACCACTTTAACAGACTAGCTAGCTGGTAAGCTGTACACTTGCACAAACACATACTGCTGCAATAAGTGGGAGACCAGCCTGCAGCTCAGCAGACCCTGTGTGACTTAAGGGAGCAATCCCTATGGCAGAGCACTGAGCTACCAGAAGTATTTTTTTCAAACTCAAATTATTAAAGAAACACAAGAAAAAAACTGCAGAGGTACACAATTTTGGGTTTTTAAGTACTCTTAGTGTATTGAAGACAGATTCACAAAAAAAAAAAAAAGTCCTCTTATTTCTGGCTTGCCATTTGATCGCCTCAGAATAATTGGTCAACTTAAACAACCTCGCTTACGCTGTGTCAAGAGCAAAGTTCCTCTTAAGGCACACACACACACACTTCCAGCTCCTGGTCCCAGAGAAGCTGAATGGATTTTACTGCAGCTTATAAAAGCAGTTTGAACTTGGATTCCAAGTTGGCAAGACACTTAACCTCCAAAGATTAAAAGACAAGTGAAAACATGTTTGTGGTTTTTTTAATTGGAAAAAAAAAAAAAAACCCAAAAAAACATTCAGCCATGAAGCCCTTATTATTCCTCAAACTATCAGCTACTCAGTCTACTATATTGCTAATTGCATCAGGAAGCACAATGTGTGTATTGATGCAGGTGATTTTTCATTTGAACAAAGATGATAGATAGGCACAGTAACTCTTTACAGGTCCAGACACTGAATCTGTTCCTGCAGGCAGCTGGCCAGCAGTGCTACATCTGAGCAGCTACAAAAGGGAGGGAACTGATGAGCAGTGGTAGCACACATTCCAGCTTTTGTAGAACTGGTTTTCCTCAAACATCTACAATCATCTTCACAAACAAAAAGAACTTTTGAAAAGCCATCAACTTGATTCTTTACAGACAAAATTAAGTGCAACTTGCTATAAGGATCCTATCACATCTAAAGATGGCCCATGGGATGCCTACACAGGCACAGAACCACAGGACCATTCGTGTCTGGATGCCTCAGTAACTGCAGCTGGGATTGTTCTCATCCAATGGCAACACGTGTGTGTCATTATGATGCCAACATCAGGCTAACCTTTACACTGCACATTAGTTCAGCTTCTGGTATCCTGTAGCACTGGCAGAGTTAACGTTCAACTACATGAAGATATTTATAGGCACACATAGCGCATCCACATACACCACAACCTTGGGAACATCTCAGAAGTCATCTACTCAGCTGTTACAGAGCAAGTGAAAATTGCTACAGCACCTTTGAATCCCCCCAAACTCCCATAATTGCACCCCCAACCCCTCACACCTCTGCTTTCATTAGAAGTAGTCTATTTTATTTAAACTCATATTCTAAGCATGCTTTCACATAGTCTGTTTTGCTGCCCGCAGTTACAAAGGTATGAGTAGCAGCATGCATTCTCTCCATCAAGCCAGCCAGATAGATGAGTTATTTAAAAACATGCAAAACTCACAGTAATGCTCTAGGGCTGAGATCTTGCCTGCCAACTTTCAGCCCAGTGTAATCAGCCCTTAAAAAGCGATTTACAAATGCAAGTGCTGACAACCAACATTCACATTGCAAACAGCAACACCATAAAACAAAAAAGCTCACTAGGATAAAAGATCTTTTCATTGCTCTTCCAGCAAGCAAAAACGAAAATAGATTTTAGTTTGGTGTTGCGGACAACTCTTCCTCACAAATATTTTAGAAACTTTAAACAGAGGTTAAGATAAACTCCTCACAAGGTTAATGCAGAAACACACTTCCAGTAACATGAGGAAGCCTTAGCAATTTTCAAAACAGAGGTGCACTCCTCAGCATAAGCTTCACAACAAACTTTGTTGTAGGCCAGAAGCCCTCTTCCTGCTGCCAGGGCTCACATACTTTCTCACCATCTCTCACACCCTTATAGCACCTGTGAGGACTGTGAGAAGCAAGCAGAAGTGCTGCTGACTTCAGCCTTGAAAAGAGTTCCAGCACCTGCCAAACT